AGGCACTCCCCTGACGTTGGAAGTAGGGGTGGTCACAGGGGACAGAGTCCTGTTTTGGGAGATCTCAAAGGATGCATCACATCCTGGCCCTCCATCAGCTCCTGTTGGTCCACCCAGCCAGTGCAGGGGCCAGAGCCCTCTCCTGGTGGAGGCCTCAGGGCCAACTCCAATCCCCAACCCCAGGCACTCAGAGGCCACACAGAGGGGTTCAAAGAGGGCAACAAGGCACAGAAGAAGGAAAGGCACTGCCACCCCTTGGGCAGCACCACAAAGGGCTAGGAGAGCCTCTTGAAGGAGCCAGAGGTGGTGGCTTGCCAGGGATCGGGGCTGCCTCTCCACATGACACACCTGCCTCAGGTATGGGACTGCAAGGGGAAGACTGGAGACCCCTGCATTGGCCCCCCGATGAGTCCTGAGACCCTGGAGCAGCCCCTTCCCACCACTCAGAGGGCCTCCAGCCTGGAGGTCCCTAGAGTCAGCTGCCCACCCCTCTCCATTAGACCCTAGAAGTACAGTCCAGAGGGTGGGGATGAGGACAAAGCACAGGACTGCAGCAAGGCCCCTGTCCTCTAAGTTTTGGTCCCCCAAACTGCACAGTGGCCCCAGCTCTGGACTCTGAGACATGAGGGCATGGTGGCTACAGTGGGCAGAGGTCAGAGGTCAACCCTGCCTGATCACAGGGCAGCTGCCAGGGGGACCAGCTAGCAGAGGCCTCTGGGTGGACAGCAGCCCCTATACTCCACTGATGGGAAGAGTGGACAGGCATAGCTCCCCAGGGACCACTGGGTGCCCCAAGGTTCCTCACCCTGTCTGGCAGCCTGGCCTGAGAGGGAGAAGAGGACCAGCAGTCTGGCCTGGGTGGGGAGTCTGGCTAGGGGAGCTGGGCTGAGGCGAGGATCACTAATAGGTTATGTCAGGCGAGTGCTCTGGGGAGGGGGCCGCGCCTCTTGGCTCTGGCAGCCCCACCTGGGGCCTGAGCCCAAAAGCTGGGGCCAGGAGGAAGCCGCTGGCTTGGTTCTGAGCACAGTGTGAGGGCCAGGGAAGGGAGAGGCAGGACAGGGATGAGCCCCCCACTCCCTGTTGAACCTGGGGCAGAGTGGGGGTAGGTGGTAAACACAGAGACCCTTCTTGTGGGCTGGGGGAGTCCTTTGTAGAAAAGGTTGCCCACACTTACATGTGGCCAGGCTTGGTGAAGAGCAGAAGCCCTCAGGACACTGCAGCCTCAGGAGGCCTCCCTACACTCCTCACTTCCTCCCCTGCCCAGAACCCCACCCAGGCACCAGGATCTCACTTCCAAATCTGAGACCCTGATCCTTTCTCTGCTCTGCCTGGCTCCTGTGCCTGAGTCTGCACCTTGACAGTCCCCATACCACATTCTCTCTGGGGTCAGGATGGGGTCTTTAGCTGGGGCCAGGAATAAACTTCTCTCCTGGGGCTACAGGCTCAGGGGCTGGGGAGGGACACAGACAAAGGGGTGGGAGTTGGGGTTAATAAAGGGCCAGGGACTGGGTCTGGGCCTCTGGGCAGACTGAGGAGGGGGCCTTCACAACCATGGTGGGGCAGCCAGGGCCCTGTGTGTCTTGGCGAAGAGGGACCCCTGGGCCGCCAGGTATGTAACAATTCCAGCCATTTCCTGCCCTATTAATGAGAAAGGGGCTGATATAAATACACGCTCAGCATAAATAAATACAGGCCAGGCCCGGGACTGCATAGCAGACAGATTGCGTGGAGCTGCTGGCCAGCCCTGCAGCCAGCTCCCCCCACCCTGCCTGAGGCCCCCCTACCAGCCCCACTTGTCTTCTCCCAGTAGGCGAGGCCCCCTTGCTCTGGGTCTAAGAGAAGGGGACCAAAGACCCTGGCCCTGGACCTCAGAAACAGATTCCCAGAGCGCCAAAGAAGGCAGCAAGTCTGGACAAGGGAGTGTAAGAGTTGGGGTCCCCGAGTCCCCAGCCCCAAGCAGATATTGCACATACACAGAGCAGGCAACAGCCCTGTGAGGGTTGGGATACTGTAACTGTGTGCTGTTCAGAGGGAAACTGAGGCTCACGAGGTTAA